TCTTCTCTCCTCCCCTCTCCCCCTCCTCTCTTCTCCCCTTTCCTCCCCTCTCCTCTCCTCCCCTACCCCCCCTCTCCTCCCCTCCCTGCACTGCACAGACTCATCGCCCTGGACGGCACTGGACCGTCGCTCTGTCTCCTTACAGCTCTCCCAGGGCCAGTGCCAAGGCCTGCCCCCAGCAGGCCCCTCTGAGTACCCACCTCCTCCTGCTCTTGGTGACACTCCCCCCATTTCCTCCGCCTTCCTCCCGCTGTTCCCATCGCTCTGAGGCTAGCAGCACACTCTTCTCTGAGCTTTGATCTTCGTTTGTTGCATGGGCTGTGGGACTGCGGCTAGACCATGAGATGCCTCCCCCCAAGGACCTGGGCGACTCCAACGGCAGGCACACGCCCGGCTGGTCTCTGTGTCCTCGAGGCCCGACTCCGGGTCAAGCCAGGGCAGAGTCATGGGCGACTGGTGGAGAAATGGCGGGGGGGAGAATGGGGAGCAGACAGGGCTGGGGCGGGGGGGGGCGTAATGGAGAGCAGACAGGGCTGGGGCTGGGCTGGCTGGGCTGAGGAGGGGTGGGCTGGCAGCGGCTGCCGGCAGATGGCCACAGCAGGGTCTCCCACACTGTCCACTTTCTGGGGAAGCTGACCCTCTGCAGTGACATCCAGACACCCACCGGACCAAGTGGCCAACAGGAGTGGTCCTGGGGCCTGGCGGGGCGGGAACAGGAAGGGAGAGAGAAGGCAGACCGATAACTGGGCCTTCTGCTCAGCAGGGATCGTGGCCTGCCCCACCCTGCACCTCTGGGGGGTCACCGCTCTGCCACTCCGGCCTGCTGTAGGGCTGAGACGCAGGGGCCTAGGAGTGCCCTGACCTTTGCTCTCTCACCTACTCAGGGGTCGAACATAGGGAGGCTGATCGAGCCAGAGGGGAGCTGGGACCACAGAGAGGAGTCTGGCACGGGCTTGCCTCGAGCTCCCCCCACTATTGTGGGGGGACAGGCACATGTGCGAGGAGTCGCCCACTGAGTCCAGGCCTGGCTGCAGGTGTGGCCAGCACCAGGGACACAGGCTGGTCCAGCCCCTTAGCCGGGTATCCGTGCCCTGTTTCCTATCATCCCGAGTCTGGCTCTGAGGCGTCTTCGAAGAGTTCGTGAAATGGGCTGTGATGAAACTATACGTGAGTTTCCAGCCTTCCGTCTTTTGCACTGGAATGAATTCATACTTTATTTCTAATTCCCCACGAGTGTTTCGAAGTCCCTTGTTGACCAGACTTGGCTCTTGTGGCCTGAGCCTCCCCCAGTGTCTTGCAGGTCCGGGGCTACCCTCTAGTCTCCCCTGGTTCCTCCCCCTCCCCTTAGCTAATCTTACTGAGTTAGCTAAGTCTCAGCTCAAGGTCATTTCCTCCAGGAAGCCTTCCTGGCAGCCTCATAGGTTGGGTGGGTACCCCCACCCCCGCTTTGTCCATGGCTTCCCCTTTCTTCTTGCCCTCATTGCTGTTTCTTGGCTGAGTACCCGATTGGCCGGCGCCAGCGGGGGGGACAGTGACCATGTCTCCCTCCTCGCAGCTCAGAGCCTAGTGGGGTTGAGACTCAGCAAATGTCAGCTCCGTGACTGTGTTTTCGAAGACAAAACTCCTTTCTTGTTTCTCTACCTGAAGAAACAGGCCGAGAGAGGCGCCTGGCAGGGTCTAGGTCACATAGTGGCTGGGGGGGGCCCCGCCTGCACCGCCCCCCCCACAGACTGGG